AACTGAAGAACAAAAGTCACTGTATCAAAAAGAATTGGAAGACACAGAAGAATTTCATGAAACAACACATGAGCAAGAGCCTATGGTGATGAAAGAAGAAGTTCAGGCTGCTTTGAAGGACATGGCCAAAAATAAGGCTCCAGGAATAGATGGTATACCAATTGACATATTTCAGTTAACAGATGCTGCCCTGGACATGCTCACCAAGTCGTGCCAAGAAATCTGGAGAACAACCACTTGGCCAACTGACTGGAAGAGATCGATATTTGTTCCTATCCCAAAGAAAGGCGACCCAACCGAATATGGAAACTACAGAACAATTTCACTGATTTCACATGCAAGCAAGATTTTACTGAAAATTATCCAAAAACGACTGGAACAGCACATCAACAGAGAACTACCAGAAGTCCAGGCTGGTTTCAGAAGGGGTCGTGGTACTAGAGATATTGTAGCTGATGTTAGATGGATCTTGGCTGAAAGCAGGGAATACCAGAGGAATGTCTATCTGTGTTTCATTGACTATGCAAAGGCATTTGACTGTGTAGATCATAACAAACTGTGGCTGACTCTGAGAAGAATGGGAATCCCAGAACACTTGATCGTTCTAATGCGAAACTTATACTTGGACCAGGAGGCAGTCGTCAGAACAGAGCAAGGGAACACTGCATGGTTCAAAATTGGGAAGGGCGTACGCCAGGGATGCATCCTATCTCCATACCTTTTCAACCTACATGCAGAACAGATTATCCGGGAAGCTGGGCTCTATGAGGAGAAATGTGGTGTCAAGATTGGTGGACGATTTATCAACAATCTGCGTTATGCAGATGACACAACCCTGCTTGCTGAAACTGAGGAGGACCTGAAGCGCCTGCTGCAGAGTGTCAAGGACTGCAGCCTACAATATGGATTGAGGCTCAATGTCAAGAAGACAAAGATTCTCACCACTGGACCAATTGGCAGCATCAGGATGGATGGTGAAGAGATTGAGATTGTACACAGCTTTAGTTTGCTTGGCTCCATAGTCAACAGTCTTGGCACCAGCAGCCATGAAATTAAAAGGCACATTGCCATGGGAAAGTCTGCTGTTAGGGACCTCTCCAAAGTGCTGAAGAGCACTGGTGTCTCTCTGGAGACTAAGGTGCGTCTGATACAGGCCATGGTCTTCGCAATCACCTGTTATGCATCAGAGAGTTGGACAATGACCAAGGAGGATAGAAGGAGAACTGATGCCTTTGAGCTGTGGTGCTGGAGAAGAGTACTGAGAATACCATGGACTGCTAGGAAAACAAACAGATTTGTCCTGGAGAGGGTTAAACCGGGTGGCTCCTTGGAGGCAAGGATTCTGAGGCTCCGTCTAACTTACTTTGGACATGTAGTGAGGAGAGACCGATCCTTGGAGAGGGACATCATGCTTGGGAGGGTGGAGGGACGGTGCAGGAGAGGAAGGCCCTCTCTGAGGTGGATTGATTCAGTGACTGGGATAATTGGGATGGGAGTGTCAGAGACAGTGCGATCGGCGCAGGACAGAGTGGAGTTTAGGGCTGTTGTCGCTATGAGTCGCAGGCGACTTGACGGCACATAACAACAATAACAACAACAATTCCCTATAATAAAGGTTTAAAAGATGAAGTATACTCATTTCCAAGCATAAATGCTATTTGCTCAGTCTCTACTATCCTTTTCACAACCTGTAACTTTGAACAAAAAAATTCTAAGAAACATTGAGAAAGTTACAAGAAACCACTGGCAAGAGGTAAAGCAGAACCAAACTGAACTACAAGAGCATTTAAAACAAGTTTCTGTGAAGCTGAACACTGTGACACTGATGTGTCAAATGCAAGAATGGTTACTCATGGTACACAGTGTTTGGTGGACATCCCCGATTAAAACAAGCTTGGAAGCAGGAGTGGCATCCACTTCCACTATAGCTTGCCTCTGGAAACCCTATGAACCTGAAGAAAGGATGTAAGTTATACAAGTGTTCAGGTCTTTTGTTCATAGGGTCGCTATGAGTCACCTATGACTGGATGGCACTTAACGACAACAGCACAGAGAGAGCTCAGTTGGCCTAGTGGACAGAAAGTGATGCTACCAAGCCAAAAGTGGGTGACTCTAATCTGTGGCCCTCAGGCCTGTTTTTAATTGTTTTGGGTGAAACGTTCTTCTACGAAATATAGCCCTGGTCTGTCCATTTGCGAACAAAGGTAACTCGTGGTTGCTGTGAAGCTGAACACTGTGACAGTGATGTGTCAAATGCGAGAATGGTCACCCATGGTGGACAGTGTTTGGTGGAGTTCCCTGATTAAAACAAGCTTGGAGTGGTATCCACTTCCATAACAGCTTGTCTCTGGAAACCCTATGAACCTGGAGAAAGGACGAAAGTTATACAATTGTCAAAGTCTTTTGTTCATAGGGTCACTATGAGTTGCCTACAACTCGACAGCACTTAACAACAACACTGTTGTTGTTAGGTGCCATCAAGTTGATTATGACTCACAGTGGCTGTATGAACAGTAGAACTGAACCCTGTCCTGTCCTGTGCCATCCTCACATTTCCTGACACACTAGAGGTCACTGTTGCAGTCACTGTGTCAATTCACCTAGTTGAGGGTTTTCCTTTCCTTCACCATCCCTCTAACCCTCCTAAGCATGATGTCCTTTTCCAAGGAATAACCTCTCCTAGTAACATGTTCAAAGGGTATGAGATAACGCTTCATTATAATTTAGCTTGCCAGGAGCACTCTGGTTTTCACCTTCTCCAAGATACATCTATTTGTTCTTTTGGCAGTCTGTGGGACCTTTAGTACTCTTCTCCAACACCAGAGTCTAAAGCCATCAATTTTTGATTTGTCATCCTTATTCACTGTCCAGCTCTCAGCAGTATAGCAAATAACTAAAAAGACCAAGGCTGGAAGCAAGTGCACCTTAGTTCTCAAACACACACCCCTGCTCCTCAGTGATTTGGAGAAGGCCCTGACTACGGACTTTCCCAGTGTAATGTCTCCTGATCTCATGTTAAAGGCTTTAAGAAAAAGAGTGGACCAACTGAGAGATAAAAACTGTGAGACCTAAAAGGAATTGCTAGAAATACTAGAAAGAAAGTATTTGTGGTGGGCTATTGTGTCTTGGAGGAAGTACAACCTGGGCACTGCCTAGAGGGAAGGATGGTGGAACTTCATCTTACATATGGGTACGTTATCAGAAGGTGACAGTCCTTGGTAAAAAACATCAGCTGGGAAAGGTGGAGGGTAAGAGAAAAAAAGGAGGACCTTCAAGATGGATTGACACAGTGACAGTAACAATTGGTTTGAGAATGGCAGAGATTGTGAGAATGGTACTGAAGGAGGCAAGGACCAATGTGTTGCTTACAGAGTCACTAAGAGTCAGAGCAGACTTGATGGCACCTAACAACAGCAGATCAGTAGTAGGATTTATGTCATCCAGAAAAGAACCAGTGAATTTAAAAGTCAGTAAGAATGACTCAAATTAAAATATAAACAGATGAAAAGTGTGTGGGAAGATCTGTTAGTAACTCCAGCAACTCAAAAGGCAGAGCAGAACTAGAACCTTTATTACATAAAGGACAGAACAGAAAGTGGACAAAGTATCACAGGATTTTAGAAAAATATAAAAAATCCAATCTATATAAATTGATTTCTGAAGGAAGAAGAGAGAAAATAAAATAGAGGAAGTACTTAGAATTTTCCAAAACTAATGAAGAAATCCCAAACACAAGTAGTTTAGCAAAATCCAAGCAGGATGTGTTTATCATCCTTCCCTGTTCCTCACATGTAGCAAGAATCATATTTACAGCGAAAGAGAGGGAGAAACTCTTGAAGCTACCAGACAAAAAACCCCCAAGCCCCAAACAAACAAAAACCCAACCTAAAATCAGTCCATATAGATGGAGCCAAAAAGTCCCACATAATATATGGAAGAGCAAAGGGTAAGAACTAAAGTTGGGTTTTTTTTTTCTCACCAACTATGCAAGTTAGAAGAAAATGGCAATTTTTTAAGTCTTGAAAGGAAAAAACCCTGGTCAACCATGAATTCTATACCTAGCAAAAAGAACTTTAAAAAAAGACAAAATTTGAGCAATTCATCACCAATGTAGCAAAAATAAATTTTCATGTAAAGGACTATCCTATTATACCATACCATACCATACCATACCATACCATACCATACCATACCATACCATAATGAAATGGTTATCAAATAGGAAGAGGAAAGGGAAGTAACAATACACAAAATGCTACCATCCCGGCTGTTCTGTTACCCTGTGGAAACACCTACACTGGTGAGGACAGAACACCGAGACAGCAGAACTTTCACGGCAAAATGCACACAGGGGCTTGCTATGAATCTCTGGCTTTTCCTATGTTCAATTTCTTCCTCTCAAACTTTTAAACTATGTATACTATTTTGGTTGAGTTATTAAAAAAATCTTTTTACATGTATTTGAGTTTTCTCATAATAGATAATACAAAATAAAACGATCTTATTAGCTTAGATCAGGAAAAAATGCAGTTGGTCACGTGTTGCTGTGTGCAGGTGAGTCGATTCTGACTCAGCCATCCTGAGAGAGAAGTGCCTCATGGGAATTTCCAGACTGAACTCTTGAGAAAAGCAAACAACTCCCATGAATACAGAGACCATTTGGTTTGAACCTATGACCTTTTTAATTAAAAGGCGAGTGCTTTAACTCCATGAGTTGGCCATAGGCCACCAGTATTCACTAGTAATTATAGTTATGTGCCTTTGAGTAAGAATTGACAGAGGATTTTCTAAGGTTGTAAACTGCAGGGAAGGAGACCGTCCATCTGTCTCCCACTGAGCAGCTGGTGGATTTGAACTGCCTGTCTTTGGGTTGGCAGGCAGCTCAATTCCTTATCCATCAGGGGCTACAAAAGCACAATGGAATGTGATGTTTAAAATGTACATGACAAAATTTGAGAACAGTCACTTTAAACCACAGCCTAATTCATATTTGAATAGATTCATATTTGAATAGAGGGTATTTACACATCTGTGAAGGTAGAGGGGATATTTTCTTCCACCCACTTCAAATCTTCATCCTGCAGGAAAATTCATATATTAGCATGTGCTTAATACAGTTGAAACCAGATTATTAGAATATAAGAACAATTCAAATGCATGCCATATTTTTCAATGTCTATGGATATCCTAACAAGCTGATGTTGATGTCACACAGAAATCAGAGCAGTACTCAGAGCTCAGATTTCTGCTTTTCCTTTTGATATGAGTTAGACTGTTGTTGTGTGCTGCTGAGTTGGAACTGATCCACAGCTGACCCTCCAGCAGGTTTTCAGGGATAGTAAAGTGCTCAGGAGTAGAGTGTCCATCCTTCTCCCACAGAGCAGCTGTCAGATTTGAACTGCGTGCTTTTGGGATTGCAGTGCTGTGTCTTACCACTATGCCACCAGAGTTCCCTTTAGTTAGATAGCATAGGCATTATTTTTTGTTCCTTAGAAAGTACAGAAAAGAAATATATACAGTTAATTATAAGACAGAAAATAGTAGGAACACTGATTTGCACTGAGCACTCGTTATGCCTATGTTTTTTATGAGTTTATAATCATTCAAGAGGAAATAGAATCTCAAGATGATGGCACAAACACTTCAGCTGCAGAAAAGCCTAGCCGTGTACAACACATACATTTATGCCCATCTAACTGGTGGAGACAAGGAAAGCAAGCCAGCTCTAGTAGTTAGGATTCCTTTTTAAATAGAACCTTGCTTATGGTTACCTTACCTGGATAAGGGGAAAAGAAAAGGTATATTGTACATTTGGTTTTGTAATGCAAAACCACTCCCTGCAATTAAGTCCATACCCGCTTAAAGAAGCCCTAAGGAGAGGAAACTGCCCTTCTTATCCCTCGGTGCTGCTGGTGTATTTGAACCACCAGACAAAGGTGGCCTTCTGATTATCAGTGCAGTGTGCTACGGAACATACCAAATTTTCTTTGTGGTCTACCTGACTACATGGAATCTTCTGACTCTAGTATGGATTACATTTCACTTACCTTTGAGAGGCACAAACTGCCTGAACAAATGCTAATAGAAATATGATTCTGGGTGGACCTCAAGCCCCTGGCTTCTGCTGAAGGACTGATTTCTTAATGTGGAGAAATTAAAAAAGTACTCCTCTTAAAGCATTTACAAATATTGAGCTTTAAAACTAAGATCCCTAAAATAAGAGTAAAGACCTTAACAAACAGAAACTTTAATAACACCTAACACCAAAGAATTAATAATTACAATTTTAACCAATTAAATTGAATTACTATAATTCAACTCATCTCATTGTCATTAAATCAGAACTGACTCAGCTGACCCTTCAGCCTGTTTTCAGAGTCTGAATTGCAGAAGAGATTGCCCAACTTTCTCTCTTGGAGCTCTGGTGGATTTCAACTGCTCACCTAGGGACATGCAGTGTAACTCTCTCACACCAGGCCACCAGAGCCTCCTTGAATTACTATAAAACTGCTAAAATAGTTTAAAAAAATGATTAATTACAAAAACCAAAAAATGAGAGAGCATTTACTGAATTTAACAAATGAAAATAATTTTCAATACTTTATCTGTCCTGTCAGAACTTAGGGAGATACATAAATTTTACATGGTAATAATCATAAGTCTGAACCGACCCATAGCTGACCCTCTGGCCAGTTTTCAGAGGTGTTAATCACACAAGAAGTGATTACTCATCTTTTTTTCCTTGGAGAAACTGGTGGATTCAAACCCCATGCCTTCAGGATTGCAAAGCAGCTTCTTTCCACTAGGCCATGTGAGCTCCTCAGGAGAGGAAGGCCCTCTATGAGGTGGACTGATTCAGTGACTGGGATAATTGGGATGGGAGTGTTAGAGACAGTGCGATTGGCACAGGACAGAGCGGAGTTTAGGGCTGTTGTACATAGGGTCGCTATGAGTCGCAGGCGACTCGACGGCACATAACAACACAACAACAACAATCATAACATGGTGACAAAGATAAGAAAAAAGAATATAAATCTATATATAACAGACATTTCTATTCTGCTTTGTTATCATCATAATGATCACTTTTAATGTTGTTGTTATGTGCCGTCGAGTCGTTTGCGACTCATAGCGACCCTATGTACAACAGCCCTAAACCCTGCTCTATCCTGTGCCAATCTTACTGCCTCTGACACACCCATCCCTATTACCCCAGTCACTGAATCAATGCACCTCATAGAGGGTCTTCCCCTCCTGCGCTGTCCCTCTACTCTACCCAGCATGATGTCCCTCTCTAAAGACCTGTCTCTCCTTACAACATGTCCAAAGTATGTCAGACGAAGCCCCAGAATCCTTGCCTCCAAGGAGCAGCCTGGTTTAATCCTCTCTAGGATGAATCTGTTTGTTTTCTTGGCAGTCCATGGTACATTCAATACTCTTCTCCAGCACCACAGCTCAAAGGCGTCAATTCTCCTTCTATCCTCCCTAGTCATTGTCCAACTCTCTGAGGCATAACAAGTGATTGCAAAAACCATGGCCTGTATCAGGCGCACCTTAGTCTCCAGAGAGACACTGCTGCTCTTGAGTACTTTAGAAAGGTCCCTAACAGCAGACTTTCCCATCGCAATACGTTTTTTTTTATTTCAAAACCTCATCTTTACTCTCCATTTTAATATTTTTTTTAACACTTTTTCCCCCAATTAAAAAATCCTAAACACCAGCATGGTAACTTCTGCCAGGAACTGGAGCCAATCCAGAGCGGACTGCGCAGCAGGATTGAGGAAGCTGTAACTTGCACAGGGGAGACTGCTCAGCTTCCTCCCATAGAGCACTGGTGGATTCCAACCATCAAACAGGGTACTCGCTGCCTTTGGGTAAGGGCTCAACTGCCTACCCGTTATACCACTAGAGCCCCTCGCCCCAATAGAGGATTTTATGGTCTTAAAGTCGTATTTTTGAAAAGTTACCACAAACTTTTCCTATAAGAAAACTCAGTTCAGTGCACACATGAACCATCTGGAATCTTGTTAAAAATCAGATTCTGACTTAGGAGGTCTGAGCCTCCTATCAAAGTTCCTATCAAGTTCCCAGTTGATTCTCATACACTGGTTCAGAATCAGCATTTAAGAAGCGAGAGGGCTGAGAACAAAGATGTTTCAGTCCTGCTTTTTAACCTGGGTTGCTGACTGGATACAGATTTTCATAACAGAAAAAAAACAACCCTCATTTGTAAAAAAAATTCTCCTCTTGACAGCCAATAAATACGTAATCACATTGTAGATCTCTAAAGTACTTGGTGGAGCTCTGGTGGCCTAGCAGTGTGCTGTCAACCCAAAAGCACGTGGTTCAAATGGGCCAGCATCTCCTAGGGTGAAAGAGAGGCCATCAACTCCCATGTGATTTACTGAGTTGGAAAACCCACTGGAGGGTCAGCTCTGAGTTGGTCCCAACTGGACAAAACACAACTAATGACTGAAGAGTCTGTGGAACATAAACGATACTCACAAAATTATCAGAAGTGGCAGGTTTTGCTGTTCCATTGGAAACTGTTTTAGAAGCTCTTAATTTTATTCCTTCAGCTATAAGGAGACACACAGATATATAATTTTAAAAATATTTTACTTTATGGTGTCACTTTTAATAACTCAACAAGAAAATAGAAATAGTTTTTTTAAAGGAGAATTAATGGTAGAAACACTGGTCAGAGTTCTGGTTTCATAATACCAGGTGACAAAGAAGTATGGAGTAGTTAACACAACTTGACAATTGTTTACAACAACTTCCAGGTTTTCAAGCTGCTAGTCTGAAATCTAAGAAGGGCTTAAATAAGCAGACCTACCTATCTACATACAAATATATAGACACATTATTTTCTGAGTTAAAGTTTCAAGGATTTTTAACGTTTCTGTTACTACATCTGCCGCGTCGGCTACAACACAGTAGATCTATGAACAGATCTGACTCTTGCCCTCTCCTACAGCACCCTCATAGGCTCTGCCAAGTTACAACATTATGGTCTGTCTCAATCCATCCTGTTGGGGGGAGGGGGTCTTCCTGTTTTTCCAGGATGTTTTACTTTTCATACCATGATATGTCTTTTAAGAAGACTGGCCCCATCCAAGATGGTGGCGGGGGAGAAAACAGCATGGCAAGCTGTGGGAGCAGTGGACCACATGGAGGAGGGCCACCATGGCCTTCTACAAACCTCTGTTTATTGATAATTGAACAGTTAAACAGTTGATGACTGGCCTTCGGTGCGGATCGAGGCTCAACATCAGGAGATCAAGGATTCCCAGGGAGGAATGGGTGAGTCCCGCTGCTCCCAGCCCCCTGCTGCCAAGCCCACACCACCGCAGCTCCATGAGGCTCCCACCAAAGGACCCCAGGGAGCCGCAGAGTGGACTTGTTCTGGGGAGAATTCATGAAGCCAAGATGGTGGCGGCAGAAGATGCGGTGGCAGGTTGGGGTTTCCTTGGGCAGGCCAGAGAGGAAGATCACCAATACAATGGATTGATGAGAGTCACTGTGAGGTGTCTACGACTTGAGGACACTTAACAGTGGCAGCATGTCCGAGACAGCAGATACCCTCAATGCACCACATCTGTTGATCTCTTGACTGCATCTGCCAAGAACTGTTTAGACGTGGGAGGGGTCTGTTCACTCTCAGGTCCCCTTCTACATTTGTAAAAGGGGACGGCAGTGACACCTACTTCAAATTAGAGTATGATCACTTACGGGGGGAGGGTAATGGCGGTGGTGCTGGAATTCGGGATGCTGTCCCTGGCCCCATGGTCTTCAGTGAGGTGTGGGGTCCGGACTTGGGGGGGACTTTGGTGGGGGAGTGTGCCAGCCAGCCCCTAGGGTGTATCGTCAGGCCCTTGCGGGGTGCCATCCAGCCCTCGGGGTGAGGTATTTGGCCCTTGGGGAGAACTGGCCCCTCGGGTGAGCTGCTCAGTCCCTGGGGTAAGCCATTTGACCCTCAGGGTGAGCTGGCCCTTTGGGTGAGCAGTTCGGCCTTCAGGGTGAACCGGCCCTCAGGAAGAGTCATTTGGCCCTCGGGGTTAGCCAGCCCTCGGGTAGAGCTCCTCAGCCCTCAGGCGGTGCCATCCAACCCCTGGGTAGAAAAAACTGCCTAGGGTGTACAGAGAATTTTATCTAGGCTACTTTCCTCCACCTTCTCCCCCAAAACACCTGTAAGTAACACCCCCACAGCACTTCTATTTGTAACTCACAAATTTCTCTAGGTTTGCTCTCTTTTCTATAGGTAACCTTAGCACTGAGTTTTACTCCAGACCTAACCCTGAACCCAGTTCCAGAGACAAAAAGGAAATACAACTGCCAGCTAAGGAAGCAAGGGAGGATGTAGCCTCAGGGTTCAGTCAGCCATCCCCTCTGGACCCACCTGGGAAAACACTCTGCAGTCCAGAGGGGAGTAAATGTCAGGAAAATATCTCCTAACAGAGCAAGAAGGCAAGAAGCTTTAACCCGACCATCAGTAAGGTGATAAAGTATGCTCCCTTTCCCCCTTCACATCAATGCCCCTGTTCAGCATGAAGAAGCCAAAGAGTCTACACCCAATTCCCAAATGAGAAACCCATAAGTGAATTAAGACAGTTTGTTTAATCACCAATGAGTTTGTTGAGTCACCACTGGACTATGGTTACCATTGCCCTGTATCGTCCGGTCCCCTCTGGATCCTTTTCATTTCCTTCACCTGCTGCCCCCACCAACCAAATTATGCATCCCTGCAACTGCATCCCTGCCTGTCCTCACCCTTGTGCTCCCAACCCTCACCTCTGTGTATGCCCAACATGTCTTTTTTCCCAGTTGTTGTTGTTGTTGTTATGAGCCGTCGAGTAATTTCCGACTCATAGCGACCCTATGCACAACAGCCCTAAACCCTGCTCT